ACACAAGAATACTGTACCATTTCAGAATTACGAAAGACATCCGCAATGGCTTATGCTGCTTGCAATGCTTGACTTCGTCGCAACTGACGCCTTTCGTAGAGTTGCAGGGGACTTTAACGGCAAATATAAGGAAAAGTGGGAGTGTTCCAATCGCAGACCTGGCAATCAACGTAATTTGTCGCGGGTGGCCGCTAGGATTCGCGAGCACACGGGGAAGCTGAAAGTAGTGGGGAGCGAGCCAGCAGGTGGCGCTCGCTCGCGTCTGGCTCGTCTGCCAATATCAAAAATGTAAGCTTACCGATATTATAGTTTGCTCGTCTGCCAATACCAAGAATATTAACCCACCAATTGTGTAGTTTGCTTTAGTCGTCGGTCGGTACTGGAGAAAACCAATTTCACGTGATGGCCCATCTCTGCTTTCATAATTCACATCTTTCTCGCTGTCACATGTACCCGTTTCCTCACTCTCATAACTAGCATCATTGTCACAGCGGTTACAATCGTTTGCGTCGTTTCCGGTCAAATAACTATTTCTTGATATGTTGTACTTAATCATTGTGCGGTGAATCACACTCTTATTGAAACCGACGAGAACAGATTCTACGTTCTTCCTCTCTTTATTAGGAGTTGAAAATAAATCGATTGACTGGAATTTATTTCCTTATTAATGCGAATAGATCTTTTCGAAACACCCGTAGCTACAGCCACTCCTTTAAGAACTGATTTGACATTTTTAATACCTTTTGCTTCTCTCTTCATGAAGTTTTGCAACTTCACGCGTCTGCCTCTGAAGGACTTTCCTATGCGACTCGCTCTGAACCGGACGCATTGCAATAATCACAAACGGAACAATAATCACTTAACGGAACCTCACACAAATCGCTTACAAAAACCTGACTCTAGAAGAGAAACGCAACGAAGAGCTTGCACCTCGCGGAGACGAAAAGTCAGGGTCAGTGTTTACACACTGAAGCAAGGCTGTCAACTCGTGCTGCGGAGGAATTCCCTCCACCCTAAACTGATCAGTTTGAGAAATGGACTCATCAGGCAGCTTTGAGTTCTCGACCTTCAGCGACCACGCTAAAAGAATTTCACTGCACTCTCCCCCTATCGACGAGCACGCTGCTCAAACCTGGTGAGCTGGGGCCCGCATCATACTCTGCGGAAACTCGATAAGGGCGTTGACGATATATTATTCTGGGTTCGTAGGCTTCCGCGGCCGGAGTCAATGCATTCTTGGTTATCCGGGATGAACCGCGTCTCGGTCAATTGTGCTGACGTTTCGGCCATCTTGCCGTGGCCTTCTTCAGAGCCATACTCTTATATAGATACTCAGTATAGCTCTGAAGAAGTCCGAAACGTCAGCACAATTGACCGAGACGCGGCTCATCCCGGATAGCCAAGAATGCGATATATTATTCTGGTCGCAGTCCATGTTCCATTTCTCACGCTCCCGTTGTGGTGAGAGGGGTTAGTCTCGAAAAAACTCGAAGATGTGTTTTCAATTAAAAATAGCCTCATCCGTAAACCGTATCAAGAAAGTAGACCAATAAATATGACACATTTTTTAGGATACATCCCTGTATTAATGTTGGAAAAATTTTATGGGTGGATGTTGAACAGAATGGTATTTTATGTCTGCCTGCTATAGTGTGGAACTCTGGGAAGGTTTTTTAAAAGTCAGTAGTAAAGAGGATGCGTTTTATTCTGTAAGGAAGGATGCGTAACTAGTTTCAACGTCAGTACAAAAATTGCTTGTACAAATATTTTGTACTTCCTGAGACTTGCGGTCAAGACCAAATGCCCTTGCTTTCTCGCCTACTACATACTTGCGTTGTAAAGAAAAATCCAACTGCGAAAAGTGGCGGCAAAGAAACCCTTATTGTGTGTCCCTGATACGGGGAAAGTGGATAATTCTTGCTCATATATGTTGCAAATTTCTTCCTCTGGGTTGTGATTTTAGAATCTATGTTTTGTGGGTCATTGCAACGCGTTGATGCCTTTATAATTTCATATCATCGCGTTGATACCTTAATAATACCTTTATAATCATCATCGCGCTGATATATTTATATCTCTGTGTCTGTCCGCTAGAGGGCTCTAACGATCTATTTTGAAAAATGTGTATATGTATTCCACAAAAACGTTTGGACTACTGGAACGATTGTTTCCAAAATTTGTACAAATTCGTGTATGCAGCTGAGAAAAAAAGTAGGTGATTGCGATGCAGAATATCACACCAATGTGTGTTTTAAAACAATTTAATTCAATGCGACCCGCCATGCGTCTAAACGATGTTGGTACCAGGCGATGCGGGCGGGGTGGGGCGCAGTAGAGTGGGCGGGGTTGTTTAACTGATGAATGTGATAATTAAATACCCGAGTAAAGCTGGGTTACTTCAGCTAGTACACTATATGTTCCTCACAATTCCCTTTTTAATGACACCTCATTGTGTATAAGGAGGGACATCGCAAGAGAAATAATGTTTAGGACGGCGGGTGATGAATGACATTTGCATATCAAAGGAAACTCTTAGAAATAACTTGAGAATGTGTTTCAAGAGACAGAACAATCCATTGCTTAAGTTGTATTGAAGGGACATATGGAAGGGATATTTGCTCCTTGACGCTTTCTGAGGCAACACGTTGTACGCACGCATATGACAAATTGCCTACCAGCAGACGCCATTTCTCGCCTTTACATAATCGATCCATATTTGAGATTGATATGGTGTTTCCGGGTGCGTCAACTGCTGTAGCCATTCAGTTCCGTAAATGAACGGCATGTTATTACTCTGGAAGGGGCGCTGTTCCTCCCCCGGTGAAACCAAATACTATAGAGGCAATACAGGACACTTCCCCGTTCTTCCACGCAACCGATGGAAACAAGTTCTCACTAGCGCTCCTAGTGTCAGAACCTGGTACTTCAGCGCCAAATAAAGACATTGACAATTTTTACGGAAGAAATACGTTTTTTAAAAATTGACCTAACGAAATAAGACTCTTTTTTACCTACTTTTTCTGTGACTTAATTATATTGAATGACTGAAATTGCGGAATATAATAATGTACAAAAGAGATGTTTTAAACATTCCAAGAATAAAATAGTTACCAATGAAAGATTATTCTTGGCTTAACACTTCCAGTGATACATGTGGTATTTTTTTTGCATTTGCTTTCCTTAAAAAGCACTGTTTCAATACATTGATACCTCTGCTTACATACACATTAGTGCACTTCTCACATACAATATTTTTCAATTGAATATTAATGATTTGCATTAATTGTTTTGTGACAAGTTTACTGTCACGTAGACAATTTAAAAAGTCTTTATCGAAAACATACTTAATTTTAGAAAACAAACAAATAGCTAATTCATTTGGATAGAAAAGAGTGGCATTCACATACTGCTCCGACAGAATATGCGAGTTTCTTAATTTATACTTTTCATCTACATTCGATAAAGCATTCTTATGTGAAGGACGAACGCGACTTCTTTAGCATTTCATAATTAAAACAGTCAAAAACTGCAAAACTGTTTCGTGCCATAAGGAAGGATGCCAAGAACAGTATTATAAAATACGTTTTCCAGAAATTGACCGGAAAGGCAATCAAATTAAAAGAAATCGAGCAGAAAAAAAACACTCACGGAGCCCTGAGCTTAGGCTGTAAGAGTTTTCATCAGGTTCTGCCATTAGATGGAGCTGGTGTTCTCGATATATCGTTTCAGTGTTTCTCGATGTATCGCGAAGTGTCCTGTATTGTCTGTATAGTATTTGCTAGAACGGCCCTGACTTTGACATTGCGGGGGTTCCCCTCTTTCAGGTAACACCGCCAGCAGCCGACTACCCCAGCTGGAACAAGCTCTAAGATCCCGACATTTGTGGTTGTGTCAACGCACGGGCCCGCAGAGCCCGGGAACAAGGTTCCCAATGCCCAAGAGCCCCCAATAGTTCTTAAAAAATATTTAATACTAAATTTTTCAAAAAATAAAAATAAACACCGTATAAAAAGTGATGCACGATTAAAGTATACGCAAAAAATTGTCAAAACAGAATGACATGTGGCGCATCACTGAATAATATTTATAATATGGAATGTTGCTGGATGATGTGAGAATGTCACTTAGTGATAAGAAGTTTAGTTTTTTTTAAACAAAACTTGTCTTTACATTGGAAGAGGAGGGAGAAGATGGAAGGAACAAGGTTGAGGAAGGAAACGTGTCATAACAAGAACGCTGTGCGTGGTCCATTTGTTGAGATACTGAGTCGGTATTGATCGGAGAAACGTCGGAAAATTTCCGCTCAGAGCAGCCGGCCGTTAAAATTCTCCCCCAGACAGCGGTTGAATTCGAGCTAGCTCAATAGCTTGGGTGGAAAATACGGAGCCGGCGGGGACTCAAATCCTAGGACCTCCTAGGATGTCGGAGACGTCGCTGTGACAATATCTGTTGACCTCTGCCCTCTCAGACGACTCGTATTTTAGACTTAGTAAAGGCTGCATTAGTCGATCCGGTGATAGCGGTCGCGGACCGAAGGACTGCGGGTTCGAGTCCCACCTCGGGCATTGTATTGTGTTCGTTCTTTCCCACCTTATCATACCGTGTCATCCACACAGTTACCATACCGTTGCAAGCAGTAGTGGTCGCTAATGACCTAGAAGTTTATGCGACTTAAAAAAAAGGGCTGCGTTGTAAAAGACACGAAATATTCCCATCCTTTCTTCCTGCGTATCCTTGAGTTGACTTCGTTGACCTAAATCTCCGTGGCTATAATCAATAGCGAGGTGACTATGTTCATTGAGATGACATTAATGAGATGAGTTCTGCTAATGTCCGTGTCCGTTCTTGCAAAATTTTACTAGTGCATTTAGCTGCTACTATTTTGGCCATAAACGTATGAAGTTTAAACGTTATGAAACGTGTACTTTTACTTACCTTTCCGATAATTGTGCTTTTTTTTAAAAAAAAAAGATTTTATAATCCATTTATAATGTAAGAACATGCGAAGTAAGGTGTTTTCCAATACAATTTAAAAATAAATCAGTGATATAATCCATCTAAAAAGTAATTAAATGATTGGTTAAATGATTGGATATAATAATTAATTGTTAAAAATATTTATTCCAGGCATAGAACTGATGTTTCGTGGCCATTCATCAGTGCACTGGATGGAAAGTAAATATGAAACAGATGAGAATAACAGGTCACAAAGTGTCAATATACCATACACATCAGAGGAGCTCCATTATCATATGAAATTTTTTGTGTTTGGTGATGCATGTAAGTAAATCATTTTATTTTCATTGCATTTTAAAACAATAATTTTGAATTTTCTTCTTTTATTATTATTATTATTATTATTATTATTATTATTATTATTATTATTATATTTTTAGTCGAATTTTTAATTGATTAATTAAGTAACAAATTTACTATTGAGTGACGGTTTCTTCTGACTTATTCACATTTCTCAATTTCCTGTCCTTGTTAGATGCTGGAAACATTCTTCATGCTGGTGAATACAATTTCAATTTCACCACACAGATACCTCCAAATATACCTTCTTCATTTGAAGGAGAATTCGGATTTATTCGCCATGAAATGACCATCTTAAGTTACCCAACAATTGGAAATACACCAACTACATATCTCTTGAATGTTGTTAATCCTCTTAACCTCAACAATGAACCTAACATTAGGGTAAGTGTGATTATATATTATTAAATATGGTAATGTGAAATTATGTAAGATTATATCAATGTAAATATTCATTCAATAAATCTGTGTGTGCATAATATGAATTGTGATGGTTGGTACGAACAATTTTACTTTTTTTTTAATTAATCAATTCAATCATTCCTTGAGTACTATCAGTAAAAAGTGGTTAAATGGGTTTTTTCTGTATCATTTTAATTCAATTCACATTTCCAATATGTGAAGGTACCACAGAATGAAATGATTCCATGAGTTCATTGCACCATCATTTGTTTCCTCATGTTTTCATTAGCCCTCATTATATTGAATTATGTGAAAGTTTTGAATTGAAACTTTTCCTTACAGATATACACATAATGATTTTTTTAAGTTTTATTTTCAAGGAAAGTTAATCTGCTCAACAGACACTATTGTCACTGTCTTAAGACTGCAAAACAATACATCTCAAAATGAAAGCACTATCTTAGGCCGCATTTCTATAGTTCAGAGGGAATAATCTCTAAGCATACCCCTATCCTAGATGTGAAACATGTAATATGTGGTAATGATTTTGTAGAAAATGACTTATTAATTACATATGTATTAACACAGTCATTCTATTGGTATTGAAAACATTTTCTTTGTTATGATTTCAGTCTGCAGTGAGGGTAATGGATGAGAAGACTCTGTGTTGTTGTTGCTGTGCCTCAAATCCTATTTCATGTGCTCTCTTTTTACCTGCAAGTGGGTTTGGCATAGGGCAAGATATACCCATGACTGTGGAAGTTGACAATCTTTCAGGCAAGGTTGTTAAAGGAGTTTCAGTAACATTACAAAGAGTAGACACATTCACTGCAGTGCGTCCAGAAAGGGGAACAAGAAAGAAAACTCACAAACTTGTTGTTCTTCAACTGGAGTCTGTTCCAAGAAGAAGACATTGTACCTGGGAGAGAAATATATCTGTGCCTGACGGACCTCCGTCCGGGCTTAAATATTGCTCTATCATTTCTTCTGAGTACTTGATTAGTGTGAGTTTACTTATTTTTTTAAACTAAGGACTGTATCACAAGCAAATCAAGGATTTTATCTTTTTAATGCATGTTACTTTATATATTTAAGTGTTACATTGAATATTTTATTGTGAACATAGATCATAGTTTGTGGGTAATTGAACTTATTTTGATTTTTTAAGGAACTAACATGTTTATGAAATCCGCTAATCCAGAGCTATGGACTTGCTTCTCAAAACTAGTGGTGCTATTAACAGCACATTCTTTCTCGAATTATTGGTAACTGTTATGTGTTGACGGCTCTTGCACAAGTATTCGGGGAAAGTAAAATAGATTACAGTGAAGGATCCAGAGGGGCAAGGAAATCATAACAATCAAAACCTTGTTGGAAGGTTTTGGGGGAAGAAATTTTACTCAATTTATTCAACAACAATGTCATGTATTAACTGCAATATATTTCAGTAATTTTGAAGAAATGTACATTATCACAGATGGCCAGAGGGAAGGAAAGATGGAGAGACAGACAGTCAAGTAGATGGATAGAGGGACTGACAGAGCATCTGAAGCTTCAAATTTCTTTCTCATAGCTATGAATTACTCAATATTACTTCTTAAATGATTTCATGTCCAGTTTTTTTAGAAATATGAGTTCATTTCGTGATTTTCGAGAACCTTTTCCGAAATGTCAAAACTTGTAAAGAATAGTTATGTTTCTGACAATTTACCATATATTGTGGCGTTATCAGAAAGTTAACAGAAATGTTCGGTAATTAGAGGCTTAACGTTGGTCGCGGTGCCGGGAAAATGGCTATCAGGGAACCAGCTGATGTCGCTGCAGTACCTTCAATCGGAAGGTTCTAGGTTCGAGTCCCGAGGGTGGCAGATTTTTCGACAGTGGCTTGTTAGCTTGGTCGAATTCAGTCGCTGTCTAGTGGAGAATTCTAGCGGCCGGCTGCTCTGATCGGCAGTTTTCCGTTTCAATACCATAAGGTTTCTCCGATCAATACCAGGCGAATGCCGACCCCAACAAACTGGCCATGGACCGCGTGCGATCTCACCTTCCTCTTCCTTGCCTATCCTTGCTCACACACACACACACATCCACTAACATGCATTACACTACCACATATGCCGGGAGACCGGTCGGGAGCTTAGAGCTTGTCCCGGCTGGGGCGGTGCCCTGCTGGTGGGAGATACCTGGTAGGGGAAAACCCCGCTAACCGATGGTAGATCGGCGCCGGATCTGGCCATACAGCGGGGAAAAGTTCACCGCCACCTCCCGAGGAAAGAGGTGCACACACGAACTAATGACCCTGGTAGTTGACGTACGCGGAATCACCAAACAATCAATTGGTAGCGGGGGAGCGCGGTGCTTATATTCGAATAGTCTGCCACAAGCACACTGTTAAAGCTTTTGAGTCGCCCTCTCATCTAGCTCGCTGAAAGAGCTTCCTGTTCGATATGGTAAACCTTTATCGGACATCTGAGTAAGCGTTTCCGGTTTATCAAGCGCGGTCGTTCACTCGAGTCAGAGACTCACTCGCGTCCACCCGTGGGACAGTTTTTACTTTCTCGCTGCCACTTCCGCAGCAGAGAGGAAGTTATGTAAAATTGCGGGGGGGAAAGGCAATTTTCCGCAGGAAAATAACCTTTTTTTGTCGGGCCTTGATAACGAAAAATGGATAAACCCAGTTGCTAATTTAGAAAAAAATATCTTTTATGTCGTGGAGTGACCAGAATCCATGTTTTGTGAGTCTTTGATACCAAAAACACGAATGACGGCAAAACTTCCGTCCATCCGTTCGTATCTGTCCGTGTCCGACTGACCGTCTTAGAACAACGCTAGTGGCTGAACTGTTCAACCGATTTTCTCCAAAATTGATATTTTGCAATCGATCTGACTGATGTCTTGAATTTGAAACTGATCTTTTAATTTTGCAGGGTTCTTTACATGAAGACGTGTAATTATGGAGATTAAAGATATGGCTCATAATCAAAAGAATCGTCCTTGAATAAATTTTATTGTTGGATAGTGTGAAGGACGGATAAGAGAATGGCGCAGCTCTCATTTTCGTTAAAAACTCATATTTTTCGCAAGTTGCAAAAATTCTATTTTTTTCGGCGTCTTCCTGCAACTCCAATAATGGAAATAGAGATTTTTTTTCTCGTAATGAAATCAATTTCTTAAATATAGATTTTGAAATAAGGTCATGTACTATTTTTCGGAAATTTGAGTAATATTCTTAGCGTAATATTGCGGGAAAGTACGGGCGAGAAATCACGTGCTTTTTTAGCACCACTAGCTCACAAACGGAGCAGCGCGACCCATTGTAAATACAGAATTTTAATTATTCAGAAAGATGGAAAAAAGTTATTCGAAGGTTACTGGAAGAAGTGTCTGACGAAGAACATAAGAACTATACTCTAGGAGACAATGATTGTTATTGTTCTGATGCTGATGCAAAACACATGTGTAAACAGTGAGCGTGACAGTAAAATTGAAGTTTCGGCCGATGATTTTGATACAATTGTACATCGAAATTATAGTGGTGGTCCGCATTAAGGGTTTAGGAGTAAAACAACAATCACGCGAGACAATACAAAAGGCAAAACAAGTGTTCCTACCATAGGAAAATGACACGATACCATAGACAAATGATTCCTCCTTAATCAATGTTCCCTTCTGTCCCAGAAAGAAGAACCGGAAGACGTCTCATTGTTCCATATGTACTACATCTATTTGTGGTGAGCAAATAGTAACAATATTTCAATAATGCCATTTGAAGGTAGAAGAAAATGAAAGTTCTAAGTTGATATAGTGCTCGAAAATCTTTCAAGTTTGAAGAACGAATGTTGCTTGCGTGTTTTCCTATTAATGTTATATCTTCATCAATGATTAATTATTTAAAAATGAATGTATTTATTTTGTTAAGAAAATGTACACTTCAAAAGTATGTGTGTTTGATGTTACATATGAATTTTTTATACAATGAGAAACTATTGACGCATTTTCAACAAATGAGCTCTAGCGACAGCTTCAAATGAATGTGCTGAGCGCCACGCTATCCCGCGACTCCCCGCTTTACAATATCCACCATAACCAGTTGCATTGAATTCTCGAATACATCAAGAAATACTTTTTCCTTAAAATATTTCCTCGAGTAGTGCAAAGTTAAACATTAACACAGTATCCGATGCGATTATTATTATAAAAACTGAATTTCCAAAATTTCAAATTCTAATCTCCCGCACTTTTGTTGCTAGAGTGTATCATGAAATGATTGAAGCATTGGGTATAATTTGCAATATTATAATTCGAGTATTACCTATCCGTTACTAATTCAAAGAGAAAGAATGTGCTATTGTAGCACCTATATTTTAAAAAATAACGCCGATATTTATTCCTTTGATAATAACCGGTATTTGTCACTTGTTGCTTCGTGTTCCGGATTCAATACTGTTGATGTTCAAGTCAAATTTTGTAGAAATGCACCACCCGAGCAAAGCTGCAGCAGCACAATGGAACAATGGATATTTGCTACGACAATCAAATGTTATATTTCTGTGTCGTTCTGAAAAGGAGACTAAAGCAAGTCTTTGGATAGATTTTTAGTTAAAGTGTCAAGAAACGATTCCAGTTAGCCAATCGGTGACAAAAAACACTTCTTTTCATTTAAACTCTATCGTCTCCCTCGTAAGATAAAGCTAGGCTTTTCTCTCTAACCGTAGAAAATTACAAACTGTGGGTAATCTACGAGCATTCATTATTTATTATTTGAATAAATATTACCATCATCAGTTCTTAAAATGCAATGCACCATTCACGGCAATTTAGTGCACTTTACCATTCGACTTCTCGAGTATCTTCTCATTTCCACTAACCTATTGTTTTGACGGCAAAACGACCACATCTATAAATCATCGAATTATGTTAAAATTATCACACACTGGAGTTTGTACAAATTGCAACACTCAGAAGAAGACATACTATTACAATGAAATTTATTCCACAGATTAGGAATATCACAATATACAAATGATTAGAATTACAGAACTGTCCCCGCATTTTGACTTAAGTATTTAGTACGATGTGAAGCCGCCACGCGCTGCCATCAGAGCCTCTAGACGTCGTGGTACGGGTTCAACGATAGCCTGGATATGATGCTGGGGAACACACCGCCACGCTGTTTCTATAAGTGACCCCAAAGCATTGACAGTGGCTGCAGGAGGACCAGAACATTCAATTTGCCGACCGATCATATCCCAGACATATTGGAAGGGCGACATGTCAGGCTAACGTGCAGGCCAGGGAAGCAGTGGTTCCCATCGTTCTTCGCAGAAAGCTTGTACATTTCTCGCCACTCGCGGTCGGGCATTGCCCAGCTGAATTATGGCATGTGGAACTGCTTGCAGGAGGGGCAGTACCTCGAGCTCTAAAACTTTCCTGAAATAGTGGTTGCTGTTCAGATTGCCCTCAATAGGTATGAGGCACATTGTAGCCAATGGCGTCCCAAACCATTACACTTGGCGTTTGACCGTTATGGCGCGGAACCATCCAGACTGGCATATTGCGATCGCCGCAGAAGCGTCAAACACTTATGCGGCCATCGCTGTAACAAATTGAAGCGGAACTCGACTGAAAACACTACATTTTACTCATCACACCAATGAACACGTTCACGTATCCATTGCTGTCTGAGGCGTTGGTGGTTTCTGGCCAATAGAATCCGACGCAGTGATCAGCCCTCAGCAGACGGCATAGAACCGTCGAAGCAAGCATGACCACTCCCGTTGCATTGCTTCAAAGTCGAGCCAACACTGTGGACGACGCCGTTCTGTCGGTTACAGCCATGCGGACAAGATGGTCGTCATCTCACGCTGTGGTCACATTGTGTGGTAGTGTATTGTATGTGAGTGTGTGAGTAAGGGGGAGGGAAGGACAAGGAAGAAGAAGGAAAGATCGCGCGCGGACCGTGACCCGTTTGTTAGGGTACTGCTCCGGCATTCGCTTGGTGTTGATCGGAGATGCCACGGAAAACTACCGATCAGAGCAGCCGGCCGCTAGAATTCTTCTCCTGACAGTGGGAGGATCGGATCTAGCCATATAGCTAGTGCCGAATAAACTGCCACCGACGGGACTGGAGCCCTAGGACCTCCCAGTATAAGGCTTGTTGTTGACTTCAGTTGATGCCCTGAGCCACCTTTACCGGTCCCAGTTTTGAAGATAAAGGGAGTTCTGCAAAAAAAAAGGCAATTGCTAGGGTCTTGTAGAACTCATAGTACCAGTTAAGAGTTAAACTTTTGGAATTTCAGAAGTTAATTTTACGACGAAAGACTTAATGTTTTATTCTTTATAACAGCAACTTTTTAATTTTTAACCGAAAACGTTACTACTAAAATAGGCCATTTTTCTAAATTTAATATTTTGCTTAATTTAAAACATTAATATTTTGAGATAATATTCTGCAATTCCGAACTCACAAAACGACAGAGATTCTTTGACTATGAGTAATTATTTTTATAGGAAGTTCACTCTAAAAATTTCACTTGATGGTATTATTACTTGTTGGCTTTAATATTATTATTGTGGCGAAACATCTCATACAACAATAACCCCAAAATGCTACTATTTTTATCCGTATTGTGTGCATTCTTGTTTTTCAGATGGAGGTTCAACTCCCAGCTCCTCACATAAACATGACAGTTAACGCACCAATCATAGTGGGCAACATCCCATTAATACTACCAGGTCCACCGTTACCATGTTCTCTTCCACCAAATTCACTAATTGGAACCTTCAATACTTCTGATCCTCCACCACCATGCCCTTGTAAGTATTCAATACATTTTTGTTCAGGAAGAATGACTGCTAATTATTGTGGTAATAATATGAAAATGTGTAATTTTTCATAGAATAGTAAATGGATCATTCTCATTTTAACATTCACACGTTGTTATTGAAAAATATATCATGAAAAATCAATCTTTCATGGTTAGAGATTAATCTTTATTAAAAGTCCCGAATGCCAGAACAGAATTATTGCAATTAAATAAATAATGAGGGCCTGATTTATTACTCATTTCTGAGTAACTAAATGACAAGTATTCTTGATTTTCTTTTAATGAGTATATATTCTGAGAGGCCTTTATGCTTATTAATTTCCTGGTGGAAAAAAAAAAAAAAAAAAAAAAAAAAAAAAACTTTTAAGAATCGAAATATTCATATCCACTTGAAAAATGTTCAAACAAGCTTCTCAAAAATCGCGACAAAATTTTGTATATTTAAAACAATTTGCCACATTTCATATTTCAAATCACATTTTGTGTAAAAAAACAATTTTTTTCTAGTTCATATGATGAAATTAACAGTAATCTTATACCCTTGTAATGAGTTTTTTTTGTACTAGATATTCATATTTAATATAAATATATGTTGTAGTGTAATTTTGTGGTTGAGGAAGGTAAACCCTGCCTAGTCAATGTACACCAGCACTAAAATTATCGGTGGAAGTATATCTTCCGAAAAAACAAACAAGACGCATTCACTACCAAAGGTTCCATCAGTAACCTCCGGTATTGAAAGTGTGAAATTATTGAAGGTGGGGTCAACAATGGATCACAGCATAATTTTTACTTTCTCAAGTTTTAGAAGGAGCTTCTTAAGAAGAGAAAGATACGTAATTCTGCACAAAAAAACGACGAATTTTCAGCAGAAAAACTTATATTTCAGGGCCCTAGTACCAAAAAAGTAGATAAATCTTGTTTCTAAATTTAGAAAAAAATCCTCTAATGGGTGGTGTAGCCAGAATCTGTTTTGTGAGTCCTTGATATCAAAACAATCAATTGACGGCAAAACATGTGAACAACACAACTGTTCAGCTGATTTTCTCCAAAATTGATATTTTCTGTTCGATCTGGCTGATGTCACGATTCGTTGTTTGAAATCTGTATTTTAATTTTGGGGGGTACTTGACAAGAAACCTCTGGGACATTTTCAAAATTATCAATGAAATGGCACCATCAATTTTGATTAAATTTTGTTGTTGGATAATCTGAAGGACATTTAAGAGAATGACGCAGGTCTCATCTGTTGGCTGAAAACTAATTTTTCAAACATTGAAAAAAATTAACAACCAGTCCTGCACTGTATGCACAAATTCTTCTGTCGTAACTGATTAGAAATTAATGTAAAAGTACTCTGTGATTGCGACTAACAAGCATACCTAATTATACGAATATGAAATCTTATAAATTAACCATATTTTGCATATTATCTGAATCAGCCTATATTAAAACACCATGGAGTTTTGGTTGTAGGACAAACCCAGAACAAGTAGCATGAATCGCCATTGGAAATGACTGAATCATCATTATTATTGTAGTACTTTTGTTGACTCTCCCTATCTCCTGATGATGCATTGTCTCAAATGCATATTGTGATATTGAATCCTTACGGTGAATAATCCCTTTCTCTGAAGGAGTCAGTAAAGGTGAATCATGATCAGGGATGGTGTTCCGTCATTGAAACTTTCTCTATAACGTTTAGTATAAATGAGTAAATGTGTATGATATTTTATTTCCAAATTAGTTTAAAGTTTCAACAGTTTGGTTTTGAAATCCATGTTATTAACATTGCTAATTTCATTTTGTTCAAACAGATCCGGTTCCATCAGCTCCAATTATCCCGTAAGAATACCACCTCTGGTAGTGTTAGTGTAAGAAACTATATTAAACTGTGCCTTTGAGATGTAATTCTGGTAATAGAAAACAGATATGCACAATGTCACTCCTGTGTTAATATTATTTATAGTAAGGTCAAAACCTAAGTGGGATTCCGAGGAATAAAAATGTTAGTTTTACTTATACCTAAGGGAAATTTACTTTCCAGTTTCTCACTTGTCCAAGTGCAAAATGTGTTAATCCTACTAATGGAATAAATAACTTACAAATGTGTCAATCAGATTTGTTTCAGTTAAAAAGGTGATGAACAAAAATGCATTAATTTTAAAGAAACTTTATTTATAAACAATATATATTAGGGACTTTTATTGCACTCTGTCAACAGAAGCAAAAACATTAAATGAGTTGATTTTGGTGCTTTAAATTCTTTACATTGCTCTTCACATGTCTTGTATTTATCATATTTGCAGAGTTATTTTTAATTTTTTTTCTTTCGCTGCCACCAAATTACACTTTTGCTTCAACATTTGCATTGTGCATGCTGTGAATTGAATGTATTTGGTGCGCATTCTGTGTACTAGTCAGCAATAGAAAATTGTTAGTAACATTAATAAGAAGTAATTCAAACATGTCAGAATCGTCCAAAATGTTTGGAAAATGTTATCTTTCCGCCCAATGTAAACATGTCAAGTCCTGATGGGGAGAAAATTCTGGAGGGGAGAGCTGTCTCAAATAAAAGGTTATACATTTTTACTAACAGACTTTTTTGTAACAAATGTTGGAACTTCATAATTAGTCTCACGATGAGAAATTTCCCAGTTATCCAGGCTCCACTCATTCAGGATTGACCTTATTTTCACTGCTGACAAAAATTATAATTCTATAATAAAAATGTTTGTAATCTATTAGTTTTAACTTTTTCTTCAATCTACATATTTTAAAATACGATCATTTGAGACCTGGGTCAGATTTCCTAGAAGAGATCTTCTTTAATTAGAACTTAAACAATTCCATTCGACTATTATGATGTTGAGATGTTATGGTGGTAGAACATTTCATATTATTGAATATGTAAATCTGCATTTAATTTATTAGATTTAATGTTTTAACTTTGTATTTAGAGATTCTATCCATTTATATTTTTTACAAGGTATCTGAACTTTCCTTATTGTAAAATTTTTTAATAAATATTATTTGTTTAATAAAACTATTTATTTCATTTTTTTAGCCTGCAAATATAGCCCGATCTTCAATGTAACAGGTATATTGATTTTTAGAGTGAGTATTAGATTATTTAGAGTAATTTTTAATTTGAATATTATGAAAGTTTCAATGGGTCTAAAAATTATAACGTTTGTCTCACATTTACCAAAAAATCACAAAATATGGATTAATTTGTTTAATTATCACTGAGACATCAGTACTTCTTATTTGGAAGAAATAATGATATTTGCAGTGGTGATTCTTGGTACAATTTGTAGATTGTTGCAGTTTGAACCCCCCTGAACATAAAATTGCTGTTCTAAAAGAGAATTGCTAAGCAGGTTTGCTGATGGTACCTCAACATACCAATATACATAAAAAACTCTTATAATTAAAAATACGAAAGAATTCTGACGAATTTAAATACAACACTTAAAACGATGGCAACAATAGCAAAACAATAGAACATCAGAGCCAGGGTGGGATTTACCAACAAGCAAAACAAGCAGTTCCTTGGGGGCTTTCATCCAAGAGGGGACTCGCACTTCGGAAAAATACGCATAATATTATTCGTAACATAAAATGTTTTTAATGTAATAAATATATGTAAAATTTTATTTAAAAATTATTAGTTTTCATTTAAATGTGTATAGAAAGTATTTGTATTAACATAAGTTTTTTATTTATTAAATATGGAGTACTTTTAGGTGGGGGACAATTTTGTGCTGAGGGCCCTGCACTACTTAAAGCTAAGTAGAGCGTCAATAATTTCGACTTCACAGCTCAGAACTGTATCAGGATTAGATTCTGGCGAAACTATCTCCTATGTTCTAAAAAATGAAAAGTTCCAGAACAACAATTTTTCCTCAAAATACAAAAAAATCAAGTGTGTACGTAGCCAAAAGTCACAGTATCCTGGAGATCAGAGTTGTAGCAAAGGTGTCGTTTATTAAGTCAACCTAAAGCCAACGGGAAAAACCGATTTGTAATGCCAGCAGCGTGCAATACGGTGTGAAGTGACTCGCAGATTGGAAAAATTGCGAGTGTGCTGCCGGCGTCCTGTCGGAAACACGTCGCCCCTGATGGGTCGGGCAGCCGCTGTTTCCTCCTCCGGCTGAGTGTGGCTGTTCGCCCGCGCGTGGCACGAGACACGTAAAGTCTAGGAGTAGTAGAGTTAAAAAAAAACTGAAATTATTCTCGGTATTTGTAGCTAATTTGTTACGAAAAATTAAAATTTCTCGCTCTTCGTTTGATAACGTTACATCGATTTTGGTAACTTGCCATCAAGTTAGCCCGACAAGCATTAGTCTCTACAAGAAAATGTGGAAAATTTGCTCCGGCTTGTTTTATTAAAAAACAAAACCGAGCATTGCATTTTTCAAGTAGAGCTTGCCGATTCCCTACGACCAATATGCGACATTCTCGCTCGTTTGCGGCAAGAACCTCCCTTGGTCCTGATTAAATTCACAACCGGAAGCTACATCTTCCTGAAATGGCTTTCTAATCATATCTGGGAAGAACACATCCCTGATCTAAGGCAGGAGGCTATTGCTGCTCCAGCTCTAGAAAAGGGAAAAATCGAATGTATCGACCAATATATTTTACCATCCGTGTATGCAAAGAGCTGGAACGCATGATAAACTATCGTTTGGCCTGGGTTTTGGAGAGCAAAAATCTGCTCACCCCAATCCCATGCTGGTTCGCAAAGACACCAGTCAACTCTGAACCACATCGTTACATTGGTAATGGAATTCATTTCTCGTTCGTCTTGAGGCAACGCCTTGTAGCCGTACCACTTCATATAGAAAAGACCCACGATATTAATTGGAGGTTGTCAGTGCGAACCTTACACTCTTGGGATTTTGAAGACAGCTTTCCCTTCAAAACTTTATTTCGAACAGATCCTTCGGTGTTGCAGCTGGTGAAAAGCTTACTACTGGTCTTGAAAACGGCATCTCTCAGGGATCGGTGCTGTGTGTGACGCTTCTGACATTGCCATGAACGGTATTGCGACGGCCTTGCATGCACTTGTAATGGCATCACTGTTCGTAGATGATTTTGAAATATTTCGTTCATTCAGCGGCGTAAATATCATCTAAAGATATCTCCAATTGGTCCTTAATAAGTTACACAAATGGAGCATCATCACTGGCTTAAACATGTCTACAACTAAATCTACAGATGTACACTCCTGCAAGACACACACATACCTGATACTCCAGATCTCTACTTAGGAGCCCGTCATTTCCCATTCGCTGAATCCGCCGGGTTCCTGGAGCTAGCGTTTGATAAAATCCTTACGTGGCGTGCTCACATCCGTAGTCTGCAATTGAGATGTGTTTCCCCCTGAAAGCGCCTACGTATGCTGAGTGGTACCTCTTGGGGAGCCGATCGCAATTTCCTGTTGGCTACATAGAGCCGCTTTGGATTACGGCAGTATTGTATTTGGATCAGCAGCTTCCTCCTCCCTGAGACCCTCTTAACAATATCCACCACATATCTTGATGTGCATATCGTACTTGCAGGATTGCCTGCCACCGGTGAGCCATCCCCAAACCGAACGGGGCCAAGCTGCTAAAGTTTGGGGGAATCTTGAATCATCTATTCTGAAGAACTATAATCTATCCTAGATATCAGAGCTCATGTAGGTTCTCCGTACCTCGCTTTCCCAGCCTCAGATATTGGGGTACAAAATCTATTCTAGGATCTTGATGTGTGTCTTCCTAGCCTTGTAACCCTGCCAAGCATTCTCGTTCCATCTTGGAAAATCCTTCGTCCAAATATTGAGATCAGACTTTTTAACCTGCCCAAATAGAGTACTTTTACCCATGTATCCAGGATCACGTTCTACGACATGAGGTCAGGTTACCCCAATGATGTGTTCATATTCAATGATGGCTCTTCTTTCAATGATGCTGTGGCATGCAATTTTGATTGTCTTAGGTTTACCAAATTATTTCAAATTCTCTCTCTGGGTAGTGTTTTCACTGCTGAGATGTACGCAATTATCGAAGTCCTTAAACATATTGAGACATTGTCATGGCGGTGATCTACTCTGATTCTTTGACTCTCTTCAATCCATTTCCCTTCCTCTTTAAGTCTTGACTGCAACGGTATAACACCTGATTCATCATTTATTGTCTCGCAACTAATACGGGTCACGTGAGAATCACAGGTGATGAGTTAGAAGACGTAGCTGCAAAATCTAGGACTCGGGATACTCATACTGGGATTCCCACGACCCCTAAGGAAATTTAAAGATATTTCTAAGGCGTTCCATACTCGGTGCAAGAAAAAATGGCATCTACCACTTTTAAACTAAGAGCGATTAAGGGTTGTGAGTAGCCCTTGTCTTCCACATCCCGTATTGCTAGTCGTGAGAAAGTAATTTTAACGCATCTTCGGATTAACCATTGCCACTTTTGCCTGCTTTCCTTCTGTAAGATGAACCTCTCCCTATTTGTGACACGTGTAAGACGGACCTCTCTGTGGAACAAGTCCTCCTAAATTGTATGAGTTTAATGGCCGCCGACGCAGACAATCTAAGCAGCTCCCTACTAGACGTGCTCGGAATGATGAGTCCGAGTTTTCAAACCTCTTTTTCTTTCTGCGAGAAAGTGATATTTTCCATGAAAGGAGAGTTTTGCTTTTCTATTTCAATCTGAACGCCGCATTTCAATTAAAACTATAAAGGTGACACCGCACACCGATTGGATGACACCGCAACAGCTGATTTACGTCAGGGGCAGTTATGTTTCAATCCAAGTGTAGCGCAGTACTCCTCTCGCATGCGAACTGGTAACCAAAACAACCCTTCAGCAAAGTGGCTTAGGGTGAGGGAGTTGTCCGCTAGATGACCTTGTCTGCATGTCAACTGCCGCGAAACAATTCAATGTGAAAGTTTAAGTTATAGAATTTACCATAAGTCGTAGAGAAACTACCGCATAAAACTCGATGTAATGGGTATTAATACATTCGTTTCTCGCTCGTATCATAATATCACACCCGCGTATTAATATCCATCATTACATCATCGTTGTATAACGTTCTATTATCCCATTATTAACTCGAGTACGTGGTGAAAGGAAGAATCGTGTTCCAGCAGTGCCAGAGTCAGGCAGGTGGGCGTCAGATTTAGAGGGATGAATAATGGGAGAGGTAGACCAAGGATTAGGCTTAGGGGATAAGGTAATTGGTTCCAAAGGAGGGAAGAGAACTAGGAGATGCGGGTGGTGAAGGGTCTTGGGCACGACACTGACGAGTTTGTGAAAGGTTGTGTTTTGCAAGCTCGCCGCCAAGTGCATGTTTTCCGACGAGGTTGAAGTGACGGCCGTGCGGTGTGAAGTGTTTTTCTGGGAGAATGTTGAGCCCAAATAGTTGAACATTTCTTCCTCTAAGGAGCAGTTGCAATTCAGGGTTATGAGTCTAATTTCTTTGTACCGTGTTGATTTGATGTACCAGAAGGGCATATTCAATGGTATTATGCTTATATTTTGGGCAGCACGTTGTAGCTTGTCAACATGTTGCTCATTGTCAGATATAAAGTGACTACCCAAATTAATGTCATTCTGCCCTTCTATAAAGATGACTGTATTTCGTTTGGTGAAATATTTTGTGTGGGTGTCCAACTCACTGACCACGTCGTCAAAACTCCCGTTAGGTTTAAACACACCCGTGACAGAGAAATTGGATGGGAGTTTCCTACTTAGAAGGGAGATTTGTCACCCATGACTACCTGCTAAAAGTAGTACCTTTATGGTGTGCTCAGTGGGAATGTCCATTTTTACTGATGGGCTAGGTTGCGCAACTCTATATGTATTTGTTTCTTTGCGCTTGTTAGCCTGTTTGTGTTAGTTTGTAGATGGATCAATGTTACTAATGGTCCATTGGACCATAGAAGTATCCTCGTTCGTTTTTTTAAACTCTTATTTAGCTACAAGCAAGATAAGTGGAGTGATTGGTTATTTCGTCAACAGAACTATTATACCAAATTTTTTAGCTCGTTTTACGATGCAAAATAATTTCTATTACGCGGGAGCAAACATTTCTGGCTATCAGATTTTTTTCACGACTCTCGTTGCTATCATTTATTCTTAATTCAACTAATATTAGTGGAGATAGGTGTTCCGGGGCTCAAGAAGTGCGCGTGCAATACTATTATATACTATGGACCTATATTGTTCTGTGCTATGGGCCTGTCGATAATAGGAGGGGGTAGTGAAGATCGGAAAGGTAAGAAAACTCATTGTCGTAATCTAATACAGAAAATCAGCTTTCAGTCGTGATTGGTAATGGTGACTGTGTTTTTACTTTCGCGGATGAACAGTTGGAAGGTTCTGCTTCATTTTCCTCTTTCAAGAAAATGATCCCAGGAAATATGAAGAATGTAAACAATATCCAATTTTCAAAAATATTCTATTGTATTGTAAGTAACATTTATTTGTTTGAAGTTTCTTGGTACGATAGCTTTCCTCCCAATCTTCTTATAATACTTTCTTCGTTCCTGATTATCTCTATTCAAAAATGGCGCGCCCTTACGCTACGCCTCTCGCCATGCTGACTCAGGCATTCTGGGCCAGGATTTGTGGCAGTGTCCTTGAATTATTCCCAGATAATACCGGTGTCAGCAAAACGTTTCTGCGAGTGTGTTTTCGGAATTAATTAACTGGTTTGATCTTTATCCGGTGGCGGATTAGTTGGTGTAAAAGTTGGTATAATTTTTCCAATAAGTGGGATACATTTTGTGAATTATAGTTTATTGAAAAGCATTAACGAAGTGACATTATAAAATAATGTTGGACAAAGATAGTTTTATTTAACTTTTACTAATTTCAGATGGGAGGCATTACACAAGTTTCAAGCAACCGTGTTTTTGGAGGATACCAGAAAATCTTTTCTCATGACAGGTTTGTGATTTTTCATGTGTCTGAGCCCCATGAAGGTACCAGAATTACTTTATGATAATTATTATTTTTTATTTCAGTAAAGAATTAGGATGCAAAATGAACTTTGCTATATATTTACCACCTGCTTCTGAAGAAAAAAAAGTACCAGTGATATATTGGCTTTCTGGATTGACATGTACAGAAAAAAATTTTGTTGAAAAAGCAGGAGCTCAGAGATATGCTTCTGAGAATGGGGTAGCTATCGTGGGTCCAGATACTAGTCCTAGTTAGTAATGCTCCAAACTGAATGATAATTTGTATGTATATACACATCATATTTATTTTGTGTATAATATTCCTATTGTATTGCACAGGAGGATTAAATATACCTGGAGAAGAGGATGGGTGGGATTTTGGAACAGGTGCTGGATTTTATGTTGATGCAACTCGAGAACCGTGGAGTAAGAACTACCGTATGTTCTCTTATGTCACAAAAGAACTCCCAGAATTAATTAATGAGAATTTTCCTGTATTATCTAATAGCCAGTCAATTATGGGCCATAGGTGAGTTAGATTCAATGTACATGGATTTACATTTCAATTTACATTTAGCATTTTATCAAAATATTTTCTACAGCATGGGTGGTCATGGTGCTCTGATTTGTGCTCTCAAGAATCCAGGACAGTATCGTAGTGTATCAGCATTTGCTCCTATTTGCAATCCCATAAAATGCCCTTGGGGAAAGAAGGCATTTGATGGCTACATGGGATCTGTTGATAGTAACAAATGGGCAGATTGGGATGCTACAGAGTTGGTGAAAAAATATCAAGGGCCACCTCTTGAAATTCTTATTGATCAAGTAAGTGTGGTTATTTTCTGGTGTATTTTAGTTGAAGCAAACATTGCAGATTTGCAGTAAAAAACAAAATGTGGAGATCAAATTTCTCTGTGCTATTTAATTTTTTAAAATATTTTTTATGGAGGAGGCTTTTCTGGTTCAGCTTTCTTATATTTTTCTTTCTAATAGTTTTTAACAAGAATAAATAGAAGATTATTCACCATTTATTGATAGAAATAAAATGAATTACAAATAAATTTGAACATGAGCTTATAAATATATGCAATTGTGATTTTACAAATAAGCTTCTTTTGTCCTTCAGAAGAGTAGTACAGACTTGCTAATGAAACAATTATTATGTGGATTTTTAAAAGTTTTCAAGTGACGTAATAACCCAGAATCTTGTGAAGCACTTCATTACGCTCTGCTTCACTTAAAATGTGTTCTATGGCGATGCTACCTATTGTTCCTTTCTGAATGAATGTTGCCATTGTTGGAAATATATTTAAGGGATTTATCATTTTGATATTAGGAATCCATAATACACTATAAACTTCTTTCAGATATTCTCTTAACCTAATTAAGTACTTGTTAAAGGGAGAAGAAAGACAAAATTAACTTGAAGGTTTTAACAAAATATTGAAGAATAAGTTTTCTATAAAATACAGCTAATCCTCATTAATATGTATTTGTTCAATAAAAAATTCATCATTAAAAGCAAATTTAGTTAATCTGTTCTTCAAAGACATTACAATTAGTTGAAGCTTCTATTAAAGATAAATTTTTGAAAACCAATATTCAGTGAACGCCTCTTTCTGAAATTGCTCTGGCAGTTAGCTTGAACTACGATGAATCATTTGGTGAATTTGCTCCTGCCAGTATTTTTAGAATTTAAAATACATTGCAATTTACTTTCCAATGACCGTTGTTTTATACATTTTTGTAATATAATTAATAAACCAATTGCTATGGAAATCAATCATTATGGATTAAGGAATTTCAAAAACTACATCCTCCATCATTGTGAAGTGCAACAGAAAATTCTTTTTGTCATTTTATTACTTTGTAATTTAAAACAAAAAATCATCAGATCAATAAGATTTTTAACAAAATTATCCATGAAACCAAATGAACTTCCTATTCTTCAAAATGTTGATTTTTCTTCTTCTTCAATTAACACAAATACTACGTACACAGGCAACATTTTCCATCACATTAAGCATTTTGGCAACATGGCAATTTTTTTTGTCCCATTTATGAAGTCTTTTATTGTTTTGATTCGGGCTGTTTGTAAATGTAAAAAGGCACTGAAATGAATTGTTTATTGTAACTTTGGGCAATAAGGTTTGGGTTTCCTTTTTCTACTTTGTTAATGTTAATTTTAAATACAAGAAATAAGAATTTTTTGATTCTTTTAATTATTGTAATGAGTTTATTATATCAGAAATATGAGATACCCATGGTACCCTACATATTAATAAAAAAGCCATGTCCAGTGCATCAACAACGAAAATAAGGGCTTAGTGCACAAACATTGCATGTCCACTCATGGTCATTTTTGAGTTAATATAATTTTCAGAATGCTTTCATTCATATTTAGTTGGTTTATCTACCATGCTTTTCCCAGAAAACAGTAAATGTCTTTCCATAAGTTACCTTCAAAAATTTTCAAGCTAGTATTTGTTGAAACTATGAATTCTGGAGCAACAAAAGTGTGCATTAAGGCATCAATATAACGAAATGTTCCAAGTGATCCTTATTTTATTAGGTTAACTAATTGGGAAGGGGGGGGGGTAGGTCAGGGAAGGCATTACATTTGTCTACTCAACCAACAGAAAAATTACTAGAGAAGTGACAAACCTGTGCAAGTTGTATTGCAGTTTTTAAGAATTAACAATTTGTGTATAAAACCCAAGTGGTGTTTCTGTGCAGTTTCTAAGAGTGAAAATTCTTGTGAAGCTCATTCTTTGCCACTAGAATAATATTGAATGAGTGTCTGAAGAATGATTGTAATTGACTTAAATTTTGTGTTCATCTTTAATAACTTGGTTGCCTCTTTTCATTTCCACTGTTAATATCACTCTACGGCTTGTGTTGATTTAATATATAAAGCTGAGAATAATATCGTTTCTATAAATGCCATCCTTATTGATTTTTTTTTAGGGCAAGGAAGATCAGTTCCTGAAAGACTTGCAACTTCTTCCAGAAAACTTTGTTCAAGCTTGCACTAACTCTCAGATGCCAGTAATTCTACATATGCATGAAGGATATGATCACAGTTATTACTTCATTGCATCTTTCATTGGACAGCATATTCAACATCATATGAGATATCTTGTTGCATAGACGCTATCAAAATGTGTGACTCACTGGCTATAGCACATGTGGAACTAATATTATTCCCATAGAAGGATATTCATGAATGTAATTCTATATTTCTTACTATGGAGATGTCAACATAATGAACAAAAACCAGGCATAAGCATGTTCGCTATTATTGGTTATAAATCAAAATGAGTAGCTACCTTTATCTACCTTTAAATGGTAGATATCCCTTCCTGTTTTTCAGTAATTGGAGGAGGATGAAATATAAAGAACATCAATATTGTTATGAATGAAAATAATTAAAATTGTTCATTTGAAATATATATTTTACTTTTTGAAAATTTTGTTTGCTAATACAAAACATTTTCATTCTTTACGCACCACACAGTTAACAACCCACTTATGTATATACAAATATTCTTGTAATGTATACAATGGTATGAAAATTCATTTGGTAGGTGCTGATGACCGCAACTCATGCCACCAATGCAAAAGAGGTTCCCGTTTCTGCCAAATATATGCATTGCCCCAATAACACCAAGCACTGCAACATAAAATAAAGTGTCATACCTTAAAATTAAATTGTGAATGCTTCACATATGGGATTATTTTGAGTAATAAATCTAATTCTGATGTCAGATATGACAATGGTAACAAATTTTGTGAAAGAGAATGGGCAAATACCTTGTTCCAGGGTGGCCCCTTAATGGGAAAACCGAGATGGTAGTATAAGAAGTACAGCATTATTTTTTTTACTCAAATCTCCATTGTTCAGTTTTTTAAATTTGTACTTTAACACAATGAAATCAGAAAGCTAACGAATTCATTTTAAACTTTATTAAACATTTCTTTAAATGTGAAATATTCTAGAAATCTTACCAATGAAAAATGTTTCAACTTAAATATCTTGTCTCAATTAGCACTATTATTTTTATTAGGACTTCTCAACAAAAATGTAGTATTGAAATCATAGCTAGATTTTAATTGTTATGTCCCTCATTAAATTCACAGTTTATACTCCAAAACTGTTTCCCCAACGAGAGATTTATTTGAATGAAATTCTTAGATTTTTTTATGACATCAATTTTCCAAATCCATTGTAATGTAATTGGGCAACTTAATAATGCAAATGTCAGTGAGAAATACTGACAATCAGTGATAAATCTGCTTTTGCAAAATAACATTAAGTCGGTTAGACTTACATGCCACATAGTGCTCCACCCAAATGTGCAGCATGATCAAAGAACTTCCAACCCAATAGCACGCCTGTGGCATCTAAAGCCATGATGACTTTTATTGCCTAAAAATGAGAAGAAAAAAAATTTAGTTTTCTTTATTCATTGTTTCATTCACTGTAATAATTAGGCTGACACTTACTGATCCAGCTGTGAAAGATAAAACTGGCAAGAAAATTATGCTTAATCTTGTATCGGGATACTGAGTGCAAACATATCCCAAAACTGCCATAATTGCTCCAGACTGTGAACATTAATTTACTTATATTTATTTCATACAAAGATAAAAACTCATTCACTAAGTTGTGGCATACTTCTGCATTTAGTCTTAAAAAAGGTAATGTGTATTTAATGTGATGCAATGACTTACAGCTCCTAGAGATAGCCCAGGTTGGCTGGTCAGTGCTTTATAGACGTAGCTAGCCATTGAAGAGATGACTCCTGCACTAAGGTACAGGCCAAGGAACTGTTCCTTTCCCAAGGATGCCACAGCTCCTGAGATACATAGCTTAATGATGGTTTTCGCTCAACATTTTAAATTTCACAGCACCACCACTGCATTTTGGACTTACCTGTGGAGAAACTATGTAAAACATACATGTTAGCAAATAAGTGAAAAGCCGAGTAGTGGCTGAATGTAGATAGGACCATAGGCCAACATAAAGCTCCTGTAACAAATGGGGAAAAAAATTAATGATACTTAATGTGAAGGACATACTTAGTTATTGCTCTAAAAGAAACTCACGAGAAGCAGGATTTGAGCAGAAATATCGCACCATAAAATTCTGAAAACTAGGAACACGCCAGGCCAGGAAAACGAGGCAATTCACAAAACATAGGGGGAAGAAGAGCCTTTCTCCTTCAGACAAGTTGCTCCACCATTTGTTCAGTTCTTGACGCCATTTACCCTAGCAAGAAATTGATGCACAGGTTTCTCAAAGAACTAATGATATAATGCAGCAAAGATATCTCCTTACATACCTTTTTAGGCATAATTGATCGCTCCTGAGCCCAATTCAGAGGCAACCTCATTGAATTTATGGCACGCTGTCGCAAATTTTCATACTGCCATATTGCAGCACCAGCTAAACTGGCACCACTGAACTAGTATCATCAAAGCAATTATGATTAAGTAAAATATACATAAACAAACACCATTCAACTCAAGTGAATACTAACAGCTATTGTGAAGACAAAAGGTTTCCATAAGCGGGACAAAGGCACTGTCCCACTATCTGCAGATGTACTTCCAAAAGGGCCTTCCACAGGTTCCAATGAAGGTTTCTGGGAGGACTTTGTTGACCACCTCGCTTGTCGAGAAGTCCATATTCTATATCCTCTGGTTGAATGAGTAGTTGCATATCGTTTCGCAATAAATGTGAAGTTTTTTCCATGAGAGCCACACCTACTGTATAGTAAAAATTAGTTTTATGGGAGATAACACAGTAACACTTAACATGAACTGTCAAACTTGAGATAAGGTCATACCACAAATTTCGTAAGTTCGCAACAGGCATAGTGACGAAAGACACATACATATCTCTTAAACTAGAACAGGATTGTTAGTTAAATACTGTTACAAAATTACTAAAGAAAAAAATACAATTTTCTAGTGTCTCGTTGCATCGCACAGATTAATAAGTACGCAAGCCGCTATTCAGATGTCATCAGTTTTCATCTATTGATGAGCCTCCGAAGAAAAAAATGACTGTCAGCTGGCCAAGCTCGAAACTCTTGGCATAGATAAAAAAACACTACACATAACCAAAGAGAATGTAATCTCAAATCAAACAACTCCAGCCGCACTAACCGCACACCAACTATTAAAATATCACAATTAAACAATTTTGGGATGTGCTGCGAATGCGAAATGAAGTGGAACAAGCGAAGAATTTGGGCATTTTGAAGTTATCTATGCACCTGATGGAAAATAATGCCAAGTGGTTAAATGTGGATTTGCTCTCGTAGTGAGACCTTATTCAAAGAAGAGGGAATTATGGAACGTGATCTATGGGCATAAGATTTGAACCCTGTTGTAACGGTTATACCATATGATGTTTTTGACAGCATGTGATGACACATGCTATTTATTTGTACATAAATTTACTGATCAGCTGCTGGCTCGGCGATTAATCACTTGTGAATAAATTGTTCTTACTGAATGTATATTGTGAAGTATCGAATAAAATTACAGAAGATACCAGGATGTCCACAAACGCCATGGTGCATGGTAATCGTGCATCTAGCAAGAAAGGCAAGATATTTCTGACTGATATAGAAATTCTAAAGAAAAATGAAATACAACGTCGAAGGGCTCTCCGATTGTTACAGGTATATTCTAGAATATTCTTTACTGTAACATTTAAGAAGTTTTTCGAATTCGATTATATGTTTTTGTTGTTTTTTTCAGGTGAGACAGCAGTGTAAAGATATAGCTAGTCAGTTACGTGAAAGATGTAAAGACGAAAAAAGTAAACAATTACGTTTCTATGAGTTAGATCTTCAGGAAGAACTCAGAGAAAATGAAATAATGCGACAGGCAATATTACGTCAACAGTATCAGCATTGTTTAAGTAGTGTAGGACAAAGTCACAGAGATGCTGCAGCGCAGGTAAGATTTCTTTGGGTGATTGTATTTTGGTGGCTTTGGGCTTGATTGATATTTAAAAATACCTTGTGCTTTTCAGCCTGATCCTGAAACTGTGCTGTTGATAGACCGTCAACGATGGAAGAAAGAAGCTGATAGAAGAGGAGATGCTGCATTAAAGTTGCATAAAGCTCGGACAGCAGCAGCTGCACAAAAACAAGAAGAAGCAGAAAAACAAAGAAATTTTGTACGCACTGTGGAGAACATTAGATCAACTGTTGTTGCTTCTTTGCCTAAAAAGGTCTCTTACCCATCAGGAGGAAGGTATTACAAAAGGTTTTTAACTTATTTTATACAACTATCTCTACAAACAACTTAGTTTGCATAGTCTTGAATTAATTTAGACGGGTTAATTTTTTTTTTAAAGTAGAAATCAAGAGTGAAAATAATTATTTGACAATTTTTTTATATTAATATTGCAATGGAATCTGCAGTAAAGCTCCTTTATATTCGATGCTTTTGATTTTATGTTGAGCAAGATCCACATTTTTTAAACTCTATCCAAATCATTTCCAATCCAAAAAAATGTTTGTAACCTCCCAACATCTGATTCAAATTCTTGGCATTGTTTGCTAATAACACCATGTAAACTGCATATGATAATGGTTAAAATTTTATTTCATTAATCAACATCCATCTGTTCTGGCCCTTCCTTAACTTCTCTTCTAAATCTACCATAAATTTCAAAAAATAGTGACTCAATGGGCATCCTGGTTTTGCCCTTTTATTGGTACAGAACCTATTTTTAAATTTCTCATCTGTCATCACCCTGCACAATTTTGTGCTTGGAGCTCCGCACTACTTAAATCCGGCCCTGTATCTCCTGAATCATTGGGAATATCAAGGTAAACAACAACTAAGTTGCCCCCCCCCCCTGGGTAGTAACTGTAATGGATTTAAATTTCATAATGATAGATTTAGTGGGCTTTGAGTAACATAAGTTCTTACAGACAAACAACAATAGATTTGTTTTAGTAATCAAATAAGGAAAGTGAAAAATATTCAAAAGCTGATAATTCAAAGCTCAGAAACAGACAATTAAATTTATTAATCTGCACTGATCTGTTAGACAAAAGATTTTCAGCCTCTAATTTGTTTTATTATTATTGTAATGTGTATTATTGTAATGCAAATATATTATGATCCTGTATATATTCAACTTGTTAGTGAAATAAATATTGTCTTCAATGTGTGAATAAATATTTAGCTTTTCATGATGTCATTAATTGATGAATAATGTTTCTTTTAATGTTCAGCAAGGGCAGAGAAACAAAGAGCAAAGTGGGCAAGAAGGCACCTCTCCGTGATGTTAATAAAATTCCAGTGCCCATTCCTCCATCTTCTGATGTGTTTATGCTGGTGCCGACCCATCCCGACGAACCTCTGATGCAACGAGGCACTGTTTCTCAAAGCAGCTCATCCATATCTCTAGGCTCTGTGAGCCAGAGACCTCCCTGCATAGATAAATTTGTAAATAAATTGGCTAGTAGATTAGGTTCACGAGGTTCCACTGTGGATAGTCTGTCTAGTGTTGGTTCTGTGACGAGTGAAAACAGGTGAGAGATTTTATATTTTGTTTATTGTACTGTTATATTGATCAAGTTCATAATTATTACGCTAGTGCACTTACAAGCAGTGATGTAAGAGAGGAGATTAAGTGGGGGTAAAACAT